AATTAATTGCTTTAACCTTGTCCTTAGATTCACCCAAACTTTTCAACAACATCAATTCATCAACGCATGTGATTTGGAAAAACAAAATTATAAGTAGGCGGTTGACATATGACAGATATATATTCTCTTCCTGTATCACTGCTAGACCGGGTTTATACAGAACATACATGATATTTGTTGGCCACATTCATGTAGGTTGGGTTCACATGGATAACTTGCAAGCCTGGAAATAAGGCACCTGTCAGAGACAATGTCAGACACAGATTATGGCTTTGTCAAGCACAATTCCTCTGGCGCCTGTCATTTTGTCCAGCACTGATTTGTCTTTTTTATTGATATTATTAATACATGTCCGGCATTAAGCTGAAAATGTCAGGTACTCTTTCATTAGTGCCTGACATTTTGTCAGGTACATCTAAAACCGTTATTTCCAGGCCTGGATATGACCCGGACAATAAATAAATCGTGTAAACTCACATTTAAAATTTGGCTCTAGTGATATCTTGCCAGATGGTGAGAGAGAGAAATAGGGTTTAACGTCCACTTGACACAAACTAGGTCATTTCAGGACTAATTTTTTATTTCAATAATTCGCTGGCGCGTAGGTCATTTCGGGACTAACGTATGGTTTAATTTTATTTCAATAATTCGCTGGCGCGTAGGGGTCTTTAGCAGTGAGAGGAAATCGGAGGACCCGGAGAAAACCCACGGGATTGGACAGGCGACCCTACTCCTTGTCACATACATCCGGGGATTCGAAACCACGCCAGTTGACTCAATGACAGGCCTTATGATACAGCGTGCACGTGCTAACCATTCGGCCATCCAACCCCCCTTGCCAGATATATGGTGTATGAGGATTAAGGAGACCTTGGGTTCACATTAGTGACTACCTGAACCTTCACATACATTTTATCTGAAATAACTGTGTTCATACACCAAGTGTATCAGTAGCCAATGTGCAGACCCCAGGGTAAAGGTCAAATGCTTGGATCATGGGATCACATTTATAACCACAACTTCAGAAAATAATCCCAATGTGAACATAGCCTTAGAGTAAATACAAGGCCAGATGGTTGGATCATGCCATCACATTTATAACAACAACTTCAGAAAATAATCCCAGTGTTAACACAGCCTTAGGGGTAGATATCTATAACCATATAGTTCATCTGATTATAGGGGTGATTTATAATACAGTACAATACATTTATTGTTTCTATGTAATTGTTTGGCGTTATAGAGAGAGAATTAGGGGTTTAACATCCACTCAACACAAACTAGGTCATTTCAGGACTAACACATAGTCCAATTTTATTTTAATAATTCGCTTGCGCGTGGGAGGAAACCGGAGCACCTGGAGAAAACTCACGAGGATTGGTTTGGCCTTATGCATTTAGTTGTACATATAGGTTATAGAACGTATTAAAATTTGTATACAATTGCCAGTTGTCATGTAGGAATTTTTCTCTGTTGTCTCAAGTATTATCAAGTTTGGATCCAGGGCCCTGTTTCACGAAATTTTAACTAAAGATAAAATCCAAATTTTAGTAGATACTTCAATTTTGATTGGCTAAGCACTAAAATCAATCTAATATTATCCAATCAAATTACTAAAATTTGGATTTTATCTTAGTTAAAATTTCGTGAAACAGGCCCCAGGATTTTTTCAAGGAGGTGGGGTGAAAATATTTTTTGAGTTTGTCTAATACATTTACCAGCCTGTTTTTGATAGATTTAGAAAGAAAAAGACTAACATATGGTTGAATTTTATTTTAATAATTTGCTAGAGCGTAGGGCTCTTTAGCAATGGGAGGAAACAGGAGGACGCGGAGAAAACCCATGAGGTTGGACAGGCGACCCTACTCCTTGTCACATACTATCGGGGAATCGAAACCACGCCAGATGATGTTATGATACAACGCCCATGCGCTAACCATTCTGCCATCCAACCGCCCACTAGATTTAGAAAAGACAAGTTATATTTTATAAGGAAGTATTGGATCATGTATTACTCACCTTGTGTTTCTGTCGGTCAGGTGAACTTCGTAATAAAAATAATCTGATCAATGTTAATTAGTTTTCGAGGTGAACACATTTACTGAATGAACATGGAAGCCTCCATGGACCATCCTCACCTGTCTGAGTAATTTGGTTCAGTACGATGTCATATACAAATAAATTTGTCCATGTAAAAAGGAAATGAACAAATATTGGTCTAAAATCAATGAAGTACTGATACATGTAAGGTATTGATGAGTAAATAAAAAAAGGTTTTCCTTTAGTTTATTTTTTTTGAGACTGACTGATGACACTTCCCACTTTTAAAGATGCATTAGGTATGATTTAGATAGAGCTGGCTGTTCTCTCTATAATAGTTTGAAAATAGATAATGCAAAATTTATTTTTTGAAAAAAATCTGCTTAAAGGTCACCGGAAAAGCATCAATTTTTTTTTTAAATGATGCAAGTAATTATGTCAACATATCCTTTCCATAAATATAACCCGAACCCGAACGTCAATATTCCCTGCAACAGGTAAATTTCAACATTAGTAATTTCCGCCATTTTCCGTGGGTAGTCGTAACTTTCCGTCAATAAGCAATCCGTGACGTCATTATAGTCCTGCTGCACATAGAAATATAGACTAGAATATGAGCAGAGGTCTAAAATGATGTTACAGATTGTTTATTTACGGAAAGTTACAACTACCCACGGAGAATGGCGGAAATAACTGATGTTGAAATTTACCTGTTGCAGGTAATATTGACATTCGGGTTCGTTTTATACTTATGAAAAGAATATGTTGACATAATTACTTGCATTATTTAAAAACTTTATGAACTTTTTCCGGTGACCTTTAATATCGGAGATATCCAATGGCATCTGGAGTTGATTATGGTGTGGATAAGTTTATTAATGTCTAATAGTTTAGATAACATTTCAGGCCTAAAGAAGGATCTGCAATAGGCCGATTTAACTCCTGTTTAATGTATGTTTAATTTAAAGGGAGTTTTAAGATAGGTGATAAATGATTAGGTGGAATAACTCATTAAGTCCTCAGTTTAACATGGATGTGTAAAAACTGTTATATCCATCAATTCATCTTAACATCACATCTGGCTCTTTTATATCTGTGTGTTTTAAGTGAGACAGGCCATCGTGTCTCAACTTCAACCTTTTTGTAAAGTTCACACACTCTTTAAATGATGTTTGAGAGATAACGAAGCTGCATGCTTGCACTTAAACATGTTTTTTATGAAAAAAGGTTTAGAGATCTTGTTAAAATTTCTACATGTATGTTGTTTCAGTACATGAACTTGCTAAAAGTTCTTTAAAAAAATACTGTGGCATTGTGCACAGGGCAGAGTAGGATTATTCATTGATGCACTGGTATTTTTGGCATGTTTCCCATAAACATACATTATGCAAGAGCTAAATCTGTCTATTACAGGCCTTTCTTTAGGCCTGAAATGTTATCTAAATTATTGATTAGATATTAATTAACCTATCCAGACCATAATCAACTCTAGATGGCAACGGTAGCCTGCGATCGTTAGTAGATTGTGAGCCGATTTACTGCATAACTTTCCTTCATGATTTAACGATTAAATGGATAATCGAGACTGTGCTGTTTATCGTACTGACTTCAGTAATGATGATCAAGGCTAGGAGGAAATTCAATCGCTTTGTTCTCGGTTCATATTGGATCAATTTGACTGAAATTTTCAGCAAATTGCCTTTACATTATCTAGTTTGTAACTATTATAGTGAGAACTGTCAACTCGTTATCGAGTCTCCCATAATGTATCTTTAATTAACTTATCTAGACCATAATCACATCTTGATTAGAACCCGGAGTGCTGCTTCTGATTAAATCATGAACTGGATAATCGAGACTATGTTTTTTATCATACCGACTTTAGTAATGGTGATCGAGGCTAGGCCGAAAATTCTATTGCTAAATTCTTGGTTCAGATTTGAGAAGTGAGAAGTGCCATCTTGTTATCAAATCTCCCATAATGCATCTTTAAGTATGGTGATTGTTTACTAACCAGAGGGTTCTCCGTCTACCCATTAGACTTTTTTGAACACAATAACTCTTGTTCCAATCTGGCTAAAACACAGATCCTATTTCATTTCGTTTTTATAGTTCAAAATTTTACTTGTCTTTATTACACTAGGATCTGGAAGAGTTGTTATCATTGACGTGTTCTGGATGATGTGAGGGATTAGCCAATGAAATGGTCTGTTACGGCGAGCTTTAGGCGTGTTTTGCACGGAACTGTGGGTAATCCACTAGTAACATCAATGCTGATTGGTTAATCAAATGTCTGACATCATAGGGTCAAAAGCCGCTCATATGACCTCTGACGCGACATATTTCTACCACCGGTCAGATCTTCATGTAGTGTAGGCCATCGAAAGTACGAAAACTCACATTTTTAGATTGTGGACACTCTAGAGGTCACAATTTTCATCTCATTTTGATGAAACTTAAAATATATGTTTATGTCCCAAAGATCTTGGTTCTTTTCGATATTCGTGCATATCAGATCATAACTTCCTGAATAATGACTCCTGATTATACGAAAAATCACGTTTTTATCTTGTGGTATCTTTAGAGCTCACAATTATTATCCGATTTAAAAAATCGTTTGAATTCCAGATCAAAACTACCTGACAAAATGTCCGCTCCTCGTTCTCAAATAGTGTAAAAGTATATCATATCAAGGTTGTGGACCATCTAGATGTCACAATTTTTATCCGATTTTCGTGAAACTTAAGGTATGTTTATATCCTGAAGATATAGGTTCCTGTAGATATTCACACAATCGGAACCATAGATCCCTGGATTATGGCCCCTGATTGTACGAAAAATCACTTTTTTTTAAAACTTGTTCTCTGTCCATCTCTTGCGAAATGTGCGTGTATCTTGCATATGGCAACTGCTTGTTTTATTATAATGTAATGAACATTTTGAATATTTTATATTTTCAGCCGATCTTGATGGCGATGATTGTATTCAGTTACCATGTAAAAATGGTGGCACCTGTATAGACGGAATTGGTACTCATACGTGTGAATGTCGCCATAATTTTAATGGAACCAACTGTGAAAATGATTTACGTAAGTAGAAGAAGTGGTCTGTCTTATACTCACTCTACTGTCAGGCCTTGAAATAACGGTTTTAGCACTAATGAAATAGTACCTGACATTTTCAACTTAGTGCCGGACATGTATTAATAATATCAATTACATATGGTTCAATTTTATTTCAATAATTCGCTTGCGCGTAAGGGTCTTTAACAGTGGTAGCCAACCGGAGGACCCGGAGAAAATCCACAAGGTTGAACAGACCTGTATAAAAGAGACTACTTACAAAAAGTATAAAGAAAATGTATAAAATTGTTGATGATTGTTTTTATTTCAGGATATTTAGGATGTGATATTGCACCGTGTATGAACCAAGGTACATGTCTACCCCGATCACAGGGAACTACGACTGGTGTACCATATACGTGTAACTGTGCCAATGGTTAGTATATTTCATATATTTATTTCATTTAAAGGTCTCCAGAAAAACTTCATAAATTTTTTAAATGATTTAATAATGCAAGTAATTATATCAACATATCCTTTTCATAAGTATAACATGAACCCGAATGTCAATATTACCTGCCACAGGTAAGTTTCAAAGTTAGTAATTTCCGCCGTTCTCCGTGGGTAGGCGTAACTTTCCGTCAATAAACAGCCCGTGTCATCATTTTAGTCCTTCTGCTCATAGAAATATAGACTAGAATATGAGCAAATGGATTAAAAGGCCATCGAAAGTATAAAAAATATGAAACGAAATATAGATCTGTATTTTAATCAGATTGTTTGACACATAGTCATGGGGGGTTGGATGGCTGAATGGTTAGCGTGCGCGCGCTGTATCATAAAGTCTGTCATTGAGTCGACTGGCATGGTTTCGAATCCCCGGTTGTACGTGACAGGGAGTAGGGTCGCCTGTCCAACTTCGTGGGTTTTCTCCGGGTCCTCCGGTTTCCTCCCACTGCTAAAGACCCCTACGCGCAAGCGAATTATTGAAATAAAAAATTAGTCCCGAAATGACCTAGTTTGTGTCGAGTGGACGTTAAACCCCATTTCTCTCTCTCTCTCTTGACACATAGTCATACAGTAGGTAGACTAATTCTTTACTTATAATCAGTCATGTCGATTAATGTATGCAAATAGCTTCATGTTTATTTAAATGTTGTATGAAGTGCCCCCTAGTGATGGGATTTAAAATAAATAAAAAATTTTGTCAAACATTTTTACCGAAAATAAAGGGACATAAATCTTATCGTTATTTAAGCAGGCAGTTTCACACAAAAATCACATGTCAACAAAATATTCAAATTTGTTCGTAATAAAAAAAATAGGTGCACCTTGTTATTTTTCATATTTAAATCCCGTACGGTATTCAAATTTACATGTATGTCAGTAATATTCCTGTATGTGATGTCGTAATACGATAGAATGAAAACGTGCCGACTACTGCTGACCTGTACCTGTTTCAAATTCCTCCAAAATTGCTCCCCACTTGTCAGTTAGATGTAGGTCTCAGTCATGTATTTTATTACAATAAAAAGTGGTCTATATGCCATATTGAATGTTGTCATTAGCATTAAACTTTATTATTCTTAATTAAATTAGATTCCCTTTAGATACATGTAATTAGAAGGGGTATCTCTGGTTGGTCAGCATTAACCAAATCTTATTGTGTACATATGTATATTGTCTTGTTATAATTTTATATTTTATCATTGCTTGATAGTGATTAGAGAAGCCTAGTCGAAACATTGTTCAGTAATTGTATTCCATAGGAATGTGACGTGTATGATATATTACAGGGTAGAGAGATTGTGAGTTAGATCTCAGCCATGTATATATTGTATATTACAGGGTATACAGGTACATGTATATATTGTATATTACAGGGTATACAGGTACAGATTGTGAGTTAGTTATAGATGATTGTAGAACACAACCATGTATTAATGGTATTTGTACCAATCTAGTAGGGAATGGTTATAGTTGTAACTGTACAGGAACGGGTATATATTGACTTTTATTACCTTAGTCTTTTACTCTGATCTTTATATAATATTCTAGGGGGTTTGGATGGCCGAATAGTTTGTACATGCACGTTGTATCATAAGGTCTGTCATTGAGTCAACTGGCGTGGTTTCGATTCCCCGGTTGTACGTGACATGGAGTATCATCGCCTGTCCAACCTCGTGGGTTATCTCTGGGTTCTCCGGTTTCCTCCCACTGCTAAAGAGAGAGAGAGAGAGATGGAGTTTAACATCCACTCGACACAAACTAGGTCATTTCGGGACTATCATATAGATAAATTTTATTTCAATAATTTGCTCTCTCTCTCTCTCTCTCTAATTTATGCCCAGACATTTAGATGTTTCCATTAAAAAGATACGATCCGTCCCAGAACAGTTTTATGTAATATTATTGTAATATTTATGTTTGTTGTAATATTATTATTGTAATATTTATGTTTGTTGCTAGGGATTATTGTAATATTTATGTTTGTTTCTAGGGATTATTGTAATATTGTTATTTTAGGTTATAAAGGTGAGAATTGTAGTACTGACATCGACGAGTGTTTGACAGTCGACTGTGGTAGCGGAAAATGTTTTAATTATCCTGGTAGCTTTACTTGTGAATGTCCGATCGGATTCAATGGAGATAGATGTCAGGATGTAAGTTATTTAAATAAAATAAACCATCAAACTTCCTGTTGTATACCATGGAATTCTTGCTCAGTGGAGCTAATTCTCTATTAAACAAGGGGGTTGGATGACAAAATGGTTAGCATGTGTACGCTGTATCGTAAGGTCTGTCATTGAGCCTGAAGTACAATGCCTGTATTGATTTGAGCCCATGTAAGAATGGTGCCACATGTACGACCGAACAACCAAGTCTTCAGTATGATTGTGCATGTCAAGTTGGATTCAGTGGCGTCAATTGTTCACATAATATAAACGACTGTTTAATTAACAACTGTCAATCATATCAACAATGTTATGATCAAATCAACAATTACACTTGTGGATGTCTCCAGGTATGTAGTCGAACATTTCATAAAACACTCTGCGTGCATGCTGTATCATAAAGTTTGTCATCGAGTCAACTGGCATGGTTTCGATTCCCTGGTTGTACGTGACAAAGAGTAGGGTCGCCTGTTCAACCTCCTGGGGTTTTTTCTGGGTCTTCCGGTGTCCTCCCACTGCTGAAGACCCCTACGTGCAAACAATGAAACTATGATTATTATATTTTGTTCAATGAAACTACGATATAACACTATATATATAAAACTATGGGGTACTGTGAAATCTTTACATCTTGAAACTATGGTGTGCCATGAAATCTTTACATCTTGAAACTATATGGTGTGCCATGAAATATTTACATCTTGAAACTATGGTGTGTCATGAAATCTTTACATTCTGAAACTATATATGGTGTGCCATGAAATCTTTACATCTTGAAACTATGGTGTGCCATGAAATCTTTACATCTTGAAACTATAGTGTGCCATGAAATCTTTACATCCTGAAACTATGGTGTGCCATGAAATCTTTACATCTTGAAACTATATGGTGTTCCATGAAATCTTTACATCCTGAAATTATATGGTGTGCTGTGAAATTTTAACATTATGAAACTATGGTGTAGCATGAAATCTTCACATATATGGTGTGCCATGAAACTGTTGTATACCACGAAACTATTTCTCCATAATTACCTTTTCAGTTTTCATCTTTAGTGAAAAATTAAGGAAATATTTTCTTTTCTTTTTAGACCCACTATGACCTTATTGTCAGAAATATTTTGTAATTCTTCCAATATCCATTTCAGAATGTTGATGAGTGTCGATCATCACCGTGTCAGAACGATGGAACCTGTAGTAATTTGATAGACAGATTCAACTGTACCTGTAAAACAGGGTTCACAGGTGTGACGTGTGAAACTAACATCAATGATTGTGTGGGTGTCGTATGTCAAAGTACAAATGCTGAGTGTAAGGATTTAGTAAACGATCATAGATGTGACTGCAAGGACGGATTTACAGGTAAGATCCTTTATTGTTTTACATGTGAAAGGGACACTTGATATCCAAACCTCTTTACCTTGCGGGGGATCACGTGGCTATGTGGGTAAGATGCTGGCTCGCTAGCCTGGAGGTCGGGTGTTCGATCCCTGCATTGGCCGAGAAAGTTCATCCAGATTTTCCGGTGTGGTTCCCCCTTGTCAGTGATGCAGGACGGAGGGCCTGACAAAGATAGCTGTCTAGTCCTTCAGATGAGACGGAAAACCGAGGTCCTGTGTACACATTGGTGTGCACATAAGAGATCCCCCGACAGTTGGAATTCGATATAAGAGTAGACCGTAGTGCCACTGTCCGGGCAAAATTTCCCTCATAGCACACTGTATCATTAGCCCAGTTCGGAGCAAAACAGTAGGACGTTAAACCCCATTTCATTTCATTTCTTTACCATGCAGGGGGGTGGGGGGTGGTCAAATGGTTTAAACCGTGTCATTGAATCAAGTGGCGTGGTTTCGACAAGGAGTAGGGTCGTCTGTCCAATCTCGTGGGTTTTCTCTGGGCCCTCCGGTTTCCTCCCACTGCCAATGACCCCTACGCACAAGCGATTTATTGAAATAAGATTGAAGTGTATGTTAGTCCCAAAATGACCTAGTTTGTGTCCAGAGGATGTTAAACCCCCCCTGTCTCTCTCCCTCCCTCTCTCTCCCTCTCTCTCTCTCTCTCTCTCCCTCCCTCCCTCTCTCTCATAGGTACACATCCTAACTGTGTTAATATAGATGAATATATATTTATACTTGTAGGTACAGATCCTAATTGTGTTGATATAAATGAATGTTTGAGTAATCCCTGTGTATCAGGACAGAGTATTACCTGTGATGATCTAGAAAATAGATATTTATGTCACTGTTCCGCAGGCTTTACAGGTGAAAGATGTGAAATAGATATTAACGAATGTGCTCGAAATCCTTGTCAAAATAACGCCTCGTAAGTATATTGTTTAAACTTAATTTCTTGTAATTTCTAGTTTTTAATAGCCAGATAAATTTTCCCGATATTATTTATCCAGTGGTTATTTCCAATAAAAGTATGGCGAATTTGGTATATGGAAAGTATAGACACCTAATCTTACTAGAAAAATACTGCCAGCTGATTGTATGCTAGCTTGACTGAGGGAGCGGTTGTTATTTCTTAATCAAATGGTTAGGCTGTTTTGGGAACATTGAGGGATGTCAACTTACAAAAAAGATTCTGGAATTAAACGGCAGAAAAAGATGTTGACAGAGAATAATTAATGATTTACTTAGACCTCGATATGTATGGTGAATGGACAGAGAATAATGAAAAAATACGTTTTGAAAAATGGACCCTCCCTCAATGAAGTGAGGTGACATACATGGCTTCTAACAACAGTTTACTTATAGCTTGAGGAATCTCCCCATGAATACAAAGTTTTAAGAGGGATTTGAATCAAATATTTGATAGATTATGTAGTTCGAATATGTTTTTAGTCCAAATATGTCATCAAATCACACAGTTTGTATGTGGAAAAATATCTTTAAAGTGTTACTCAAAAGCAAAACTGTTGTTAATCGAAAAATTTGTCTTCATTAGGTCGGGTGGTGCAAATGTTAAACCCTGTTTTATTCCAAATATAAATAATATATATGAAAAATGGGATGACGTGATCGAGAAAGATACCATAAATCAATAGAAAAATTATGAAAGAGCTACAATATCTGATTAATTTTCTCTTTATTTTTTATAACAGGTGTACACAGGGCATTAATGCGTATACCTGTCACTGTCTACCTGGTTTTACAGATCATAATTGTAGTACCAATATTAACGAGTGTGGGTCGAATCCTTGTCGTAATGGTGGCTCATGTAATGATCAGGTAGGTAAATACATGTACCAGCAACATGTGATGTTATAATATACAGGCAACATGTGATGTTATAATATACCAGCAACATGTGATGTTATAATGTACCAGCTACATGTGATGTTATAATATACCAGCAACATGTGATGTTATAATGTACCAGCAACATGGGATGTTGTAATGTAACTTAATATAGGGCAGCTAACACTGTAACAATAGGTGTCATTTAATCTTGTGTATCTAGCACTAATTTCTTTCACATTTATTCAATATCAAATCATTCAAAATCAACAAAAATCCTCAGATGATTTGATATTGAATAAATGTGAAAGAAATTAGTGCTAAATACAAAAGATTAAATACACAAGAAATTACATGATTTGGGATGATTTTAGATGATGTTTACAGATTTTTAAACAAAGATTTGATATTAAAGGAATGTGAAAGAAATTACCTAATGCTAGGTAAACAAAATTAAATGATACCCGGGTTACAGTATATAATCCAACAGGTTTCGTTTAACTAGGCCAAAAACTGAACCATACATTTGATATTGTTTTTAATTAAAACATGAATTTGATATTTTTAAATTAAAACATGAATTTGATATTGTTTAAATTGAAACATAAATATGATATTTTTTAAACTGAAAGATAAATTTGATATTTTTTTGATTAAAACATGAATTTGATATTTTTAAAATTAAAACATGAATTTGATGCTTGAAATTAAAACATGAACTTGTATTTTTTTTTTTTAATTTGAAACATAAACTGATTATTTTTTAAACTGAAACATGAATTTGTTCTCAATGAAATCTAAACATGAATTTAATATTTCTACAAGAGAAACATCAAATTTATATTTTTGACACTGATATATAAATTTGATATTTACAGATTGATGGATATACATGTGATTGTGTGACAGGATGGACAGGAAGTGATTGTTCTGTTAACTTTGATGACTGTGCTAACAATCCATGCCTTAATGGCGGTACTTGTCACGATTATCTGGCTTATTATAACTGTTCCTGTGTTCTTGGATTCCAAGGTAAAAACTTAATATTGAGTCATTTCAGTAAACGAGAGGGACATTCAGATTAAAATACAGATCTATATTTCGTTTCATTTTTTTATACTTTTGATGGCCTCTACTGCATGAAGATCTGACCAGTTGTACTGGAAGGTAATGTCGGGGTTCGTATGAGTGGCTTTTGACCCTATGACGTCAGCCATTGATTAATCAATCAGAGTTGACATTTCTAGTGGTTTACTCACAGTTTCGTGCATTGCACGCCAAGAACTCACTATAACAGACCGTTTCATTGGCTAATCCCTCACTTCAAGCAGAACGCCGGTAATATAACAACTCTTCCAGATCCTAGTGTAGTAAAGACAAGTAAAACAACATTTTGAACTATAAAAATCGAAACGAAATAGAATCATATCAAATGGAATAGAATCAAGTTCAACATCTTTTGAGAGTCACATAATTAAAATGACAATAACACTCTTGGTGGCTTGAAAGCTCCAGAAAATAAATAATATCTCTATCTAAGTATTAGATGTTTAAGTGTCATACCTGTTGTGTAAATTATCCATTACATCCTATTTTACTTGTCCAGAGGGTTCGAAAATATTTTTATTATCAAAGTTTCATTTGAAAAGGTTTACATAGACGTTTCAAACCATTATGTTCAATTTTTCAAAATTTTTAAATAAGGTGTGTTAAGATGAAATTTGTATCATCAATTAATTGAAATATTCTAAAATAGTACAATTTGTTGACCAGAATAAAGATTGGGACATATTATTCAGTTACAACAAGAGTGGTATTGAGCTTTTAAATATGCGATGTGTGGGAAGAGAATTCTTTAACCATGGCCCATTTTAAAGAGGAAACATTAATATTGGAGCATTATTCCTTGCTTTGTTTTTGATTATATAACCATAAAAAAATGAGAATGATTTGTTTTGTTGTAATTTACAGGTGATAGATGTAATATTGATATCAATGATTGTCTCGTTGATCCATGTTTAAATAACGGACAATGTGTTGACCTTGTCAACGATTACAGATGTGATTGTGCACCTAATTGGATGGGTAAGATATTATCTATATTATTCTAATTGGATGGGTAATATATTATCTATATTATTCTAATTGAATGGGTAATGTATTATCTATATTATTCTAATTGAATGGGTAATATATTATCTATATTATTTTAATTGAATGGGTAATATATTGTCTGTATTATTCTAATTGAATGGGTAATATATTGTCTATATTATTCTAATTGAATGGGTAATATATTATCTATATTATTCTTATTGGATGGGTAATGTATTATCTATATTATTCTAATTGAATGGGTAATATATTATCTATATTATTCTTATTGGATGGGTAATGTATTATCTATATTATTCTAATTGAATGGGTAATATATTATCTATATTATTCTTATTGGATGGGTAATATATTATCTATATTATTCTTATTGGATGGGTAAGATATTATCTATATTATTCTAATTGAATGGGTAATATATTATCTGTATTATTCTAATTGAATGGGTAATATATTATCTATATTATTCTAATTGAATGGGTAATATATTATCTATATTATTTTAAATTGAATGGGTAATTTTTTATCTATATTATTTTAATTGAATGAGTAATATATTATCTATATTATTCTAATTGAATGGGTAATATATTATCTATATTATTTTAATTGGATGGGTAATATATTATCTATATTATTTTAATTGAATGGGTAATATATTGTCTGTATTATTCTAATTGAATGGGTAATATATTATCTGTATTATTCTAATTGAATGGGTAATATATTGTCTGTATTATTCTAATTGAATGGGTAATATATTATCTGTTCAACCATGTATATTTGTAGTGAAGCTCATTTTTAGTCTCAGAAATTATCTCCCTTTAGTCTCCAAGATTATATGTGGTTTGAAAGATCTTGTCTTGATCATGTGACTGATTTGCACTAAAAGCTCTGATCGTTATTTGCAATTTTCGGATAATATGTACTATATTTCAAGCATTTTCATAATTGACTGCTACACAGAATTTGTATCCAAGATTTATGACAAGGAATTTTCAGTCAAATGGGCAATTTATTGATTGATTGATGCGAGTATAGCTGTTTACCATCGATGTGTAACATATCACTGGATATCAACATGATCCAGAACTAAAGGTGTAGTTGTCATTGATGTAATCTACGTGATGCTAGCCCAGGTAACTTATTAATCACATGTTGTTTGATTTATTTCAGGTAAAAACTGTAGCCTGACGTACAATGCCTGTATTGATTTGAGCCCATGTAAGAATGGTGCCACATGTACGACCGAACAACCAAGTCTTCAGTATGATTGTGCATGTCAAGTTGGATTCAGTGGCGTCAATTGTTCACATAATATAAACGACTGTTTAATTAACAACTGTCAATCATATCAACAATGTTACGATCAAATCAACAATTATACATGTGGATGTCCTCCAGGTATGTGCTGTATCATTTCATAAAACACTCTGACACATATGGGGGGATGGGGGGGGGATAGCCGAAGGGTTAGTACATGCGTGCTGTGTCATAAAGTTTGTCATTGATTGAGTCAACTGGTGTGGTTTTGATTCTCTGGTTGTACGTGACAAGGAGTAGGGTCACCTGTACAACCTCGTGGGTTTTCTCCTGCACATTGAATCAGCAATGTTGATTTATCACACAAAATAATGCAAGGAGTATACTATGTCGAATAAAATATGTTTTTTACTCCAAACAGTTATTGAACTTGTTTCATGAATTATAACATCTTTCCTGCTCTAAATATTGGAAATATGATAAAATTTTCTATTTAATTTAACAGGTTTAGAAGGTGAATTATGTAACATTGATGTTGATGAATGTGCTAACAACCAGTGTAGAAACGGAGCTGTTTGTATTAATGGTACTGGAGTTTACACATGCAGTTGTAAAAATACATTCTACAACTTAACACAGTATGCTGGTAGAAAACTTGAGTTTTATTCTGGATATAAGGGTGAATTTTGTGATGTGGATATTAATGAATGTGATTATAGTCCATGTTTAAATGGTGGACAGTGTACTAATAGTGATGGGGAATATAGTTGTCTTTGTTCACAGAAAGATGGACCAACTGTGGGTGAGTAATCCTGGATCCGATTTTACAAAACATTCTTTCACTTCAGTTAACAATTTACTCAAAATTGTTGGCTTTATTTTTACTAAAATATAGCCCTTTATAAAGCTTCTTTTGTTTTAATGTATCAGATACATCAATAAGAAACTATGTGCAAATTTTTTTGTTTCTTGATCAAAGATATTTCTCATAAACAGTGATTGAAAGTTGAGTAAATTCTTAACTTGAGTCTGAGAATGGTTTGTGAACTCTGGGCCTCTTCTTCTTAAATTTCATTCATTGATCATATCATAACAATCCATGGTCTCTATCATCCATGTTGAATAAAGTTACTTCCCTTGATCACAAGAAATATGAATGAGCGCATTTTATTAGTCTCTATCATCCAGAAAAATATTCTACGAATATTAGTCTCGATGCGTTGTCAACATTTTAGAATAATAGCTCATTGGCTAGATTATCCGGTCTTTTAAATTTATCATAAACAAAGTTTAAAGGAGGTAACTTGTCCTAACACAAGATGTTGACATCCATGAAATAAATTAAAGAATGCCATTTCAGAAAATCCATTTGATTGCATTGCCAGTTCAATATCCACCACTCTTAATTATTTTATTGTAAAATTGCTCTCTTAATGGGCCATATCTATGTTGGTTTTTTTTCTTGATTAACCCTAATTCGTCGTCACGATTCATGTTTGTTTATATTAATGCAAGAATTATGGGATTTATTGCTGGAACGGGTGCAACTCTGGCCAAAGATACTGGATAATAAACCACAAAAACGCATGGGCAATGGATCTTTACGTCAAATACTGACAACGATCCCAGATCTTCCGTACGTTGAAGACTAGGAGGTTCTGGGTGACAGAGACTAAACAATTGTAGTTTTTAACTTGGGAATTAAAGACATCTTTGTTTTTGTACATTTTAAAAGTGCATTAAAGACATCCTTTGTTTAAGACAGTGTGAATTAAATATATCCTTTGTGTTTTTAGGTTTTAACTGTGAATTAAAGACATCTTATTGTGATGTAGAAGCCGGTAAATTAGGTCGACCACCATGTTCTAATGGAGGAACATGTATAAGCAGTATTAGAGAGTTTACCTGTGTATGTGCTCCAGGATGGACAGGTAAAATACAACTATAAATATTATCTTTTAGTTTACTAATTATCATTTGTACTTGAAAACGATAAGAGAATACTTGTCTAGACGTCATGCTATATGTGTATAAACCAGTGATTGTTTTCCATATAAATTGTCTTGTGTTTTTTAATTGATTAGAATTAGATTATGATTATTATTATTATTATTATTATTAATTACAGGAGCTACGTGTAATATAAATATTAACGAGTGTGAGTCGAATCCATGTCAGTATAATGGTTCGTGTAACGATCAGGTGAATGGTTATAACTGTACATGTATACCAGGAATTACAGGACCAAACTGTGAGACTAATATCAACGAATGTTTATCAAATCCGTGTCAACATAACGGGGCATGTCTCGATCAAATCAATCAGTAAGTTGAAATATTATTTCTTTTGAGAATTTTCTTTCTGTATCTACTTCGGTCTGATTAAAATACAGATCTATATTTCATTTCGTTTTTTTATACTTTCGATGGCCTACACTACATGAAGATCTGACCAGTTGTACTGGGAGGTTGCGACAGGGGTCATACGAGCGGCTTTTGACCCTATGACGTCAGACATTGATTAATCAATCAGAATCTACTTTTCTAGGGGTTAACCCACAGTTTCAGGCAGAGCGCGCCAAGAACTCGCCGTAGAACGCCTGTTATTTAACAACTCTTCCAGATCCTAGTGTAGTAAAGACAAGTAAAACGAAATTTTGAACTATAAAAAATAGAGTCTGTGTTTTAATCAGATTTTATCTACTAGGAGTCTCCTTTTTTTAATGCTTTTACTCACTGCTTTTGTTTTTGATTTATTAGACTGGATACTGATGCATTTTGTGAATGAAAATTCATATTAAAATAATTCTCAAATTAAGTGTGAGAATTTATTCTAAAAGGAGGTAACTCGTAACTGACACAGGGATACCATGTCAGAAAATCCTGATGAACTTCTAATCAGACACAGCATAGAATTGAATACCAGATATTCCATTAATGTCTAGTGTATTTCTTTTCAATCTGGTCTTTAGATTGATGCCAACGTCATAGATCCTGATTCTTCAGTTTTTGGATATGTTTATAAAACCAGTAGTCAATGGTTACCCTGAGTTAAAACAACATTTAATCAAATCATGGAGTAGGCCAATTCCTGTAGTTTGTGGTCAGTTGTCGGCAACAGCTTCTGGAATTACACCATTTATATTTATATTATAAAATGGCATTGGTAATCTATGAGGTCACTGTTACGTTGAGTTTTACTTTATTTAATCAAGGTGCGGGGGTTGGATGGTCGAATAGTTAGCGTATGTGCGTTGTATCATAAAGTCTGTCTTTGAGTCAACTGGCATGGTTTCGATTCCCTGGTTGTACGTGACAAAGAATAGGATCGCCTGTCCAACCTCGTGGGTTTCTCTACGGGTCCCCTGATTTCCTCCCACTGCTAAAGAACCCTACGCGCAAGCAAATTAGTGAAATAAAATTTAACCATATGTTAGTCCAAAAATGACCTTATTTGAGTCAAGTGGACATTAAACCCCATTTCTCTCTTTCTCTTATTTAATCAAATCATGACAAATTCTCGTATTTCAAGGATCGTAATTATTGTAATTTTCAGCACCGCTTCGAATCACGCATTACACTATTCATATTCCATAAACTTGTTTACCTCCAACTCACAAAATGCATCAAAGGGAGATTATAACTCGCTTTATTTCTTTTCTTGCATATTTTAGTTTTTTTGTGTATTTTATTTTTTGTATGTGTTAATTTAGAAATGTGAAACTGGTATCTGTTTGTGTGGATAAAATATGTAACGAGAAACCAGGGTATATTTTAACCTCTTCTAGCAACATCGTTACTTTTTTTTTGTTTTTCACCGACTTGCATTTTATTTAGATTATTTTACAGATCACTTCTATTTGGATCAAAACTAAATTGTCGATTGAATTGGATTTTATGTGTTGATTTGTTTTGTCCACCTGTCTAACCTCGTGTGTTTTCTCCGGGTCCTCCGGTTTTCTACAACTGCTAAAAGACCCCTACGCGCAAGTGAATTATTGGAATAAAATTGAACCATATGTTAGTCCCAAAATGACCTAGTTTGTGTCGAGTGGACGTTAAACCCATCTCTCTTTCTGATTTGTTTTGTAGGATGACTGCAATTGTTAAAAAAATTAAAAAAAATTGTTGAGGTACCAGTATTACTGATTGTTAGTTCCATTGTCAACACAGCAAACCCAAGAATTTAAACTAAAATTAGTAAATGATCCAACTTCCGCTAAATATTTCAATACTACGGGTACGCAAAATAACACATTAGATCAACTCAAATCAAAATTTTATTTTGACCCAAAGAAAAGAGCTACACCTCCTTTAAATTGATGTACAGACCACACCTTCCCCGTTTTCATCCCTCTTTTATTCAAGAACTCTAATTGGATGTTTTGGCCCAATCATTGCTATGACCAATAATTTAGATAACTAATTGAGATTTGTCTCATTAAAGGATATTGTTAAAAAAAAACCCCTCAAAACTACGGATTTATGAGGTGTTTGATTATGATTGCCAACTTGTCAAAGCATCCAGTGTATGTTATATTAGCCTGTATATACCATGTGGGATATATTGGATTGTTATAGACCTATCCTTTTATTTATTTTACAGAATGATCTCTTTTCCAGTTTGTTTCTTTTGAATATTTAATGCACCATTTTCAGATTGTTTCTGTTCTGTTTTTATATATAGACACTTAATGTGGACGTATATTGATGTCAACTGTCCAACCTCGTAAATTTTCTCCGGGTACTCCGGTTTCCTCCCGCTGCTAAAGACCCTTACGCGCAAGCGAATTATTGAAATAAAATTGAACCATATGTTAGTCACGAAATGACCTAGTTTGTGTCTCGTCTGATATCTGTTGGTCTGGACACCATTTCTTGTGAACAATCTACAAGTCTGAATACTTGATTGAAATCTTTTTAAAACTCTGTTGGATATTTGATTAGGGCATACGGAAGAACCCTATTTGAATCATTTCAGATTTTTTTCATTTTAAAAGCGTTATCTTCCTTGTGATGAACATGAAACAGGACATTTTGAGTTTTAAGTCTTGATGCATCATTTAGCGCTAATAGGAATTCATTGAAAGTTGTGAAAGTTGAATCTCTAAAGGAAAGATCAGTTCAATAGCTCAATTCTGTTCAGTATTTGCAAAGTTATGTTAAATTGAAATTTCTTAGCTATCTATGCTGCTCGAGCGTAATATGATGCCACTATATTTTATCATTAGCAGAAAAGTGTGATAGGCCTCGTTTATATCAGAAAAACATGATGGGCTTAATTTAAATCAAAACAACCTGATAGGCCTAGTTTAAATCAGAACAACCTGATAGGCCTAGTTTATATCAGAACAACCTGATAGGCCTAGTTTAAATCAGAACAACCTGATAGGCCTAGTTTAAATCAGAACAACCTGATAGGCCTAGTTTAAATCTTATTGAATCCCAGCCAGGACATTATCTATCTTTGGTATTTTGATTTTGTTTTCTTAATTCAATGTTCAATAATCAGTCTGAGTACATATTTAGTGTGTATTAAGTCGTGAGAAATTTGATATTGTTGCGAAAATACAAATGACGTATCAGGCCTTTAACATTTAACCACTTAATTGTTGATATGATTGTTAACTGGGGCATTCCTTAGTTTAGTCACATTTTATATAAAAAAAAAGACAGTTTTCTAAGTTTAAAGTTCGAAATTCAAAGGTTCGCAAGTTAATGCATTGCATGGTATTACTCTTATTATATTTGCACAAAATATTTGAGGGGGGATGCTCAATAGTCTTTGTTGAATGTTCTCAGTCAAATGCTCTTTAGTCTTTGTTGAATGTTCAAAATGGACAGACAGATGATACAGTTCTGATAACTGATGGTGTATGAGTAGAATTGAGGCATAATCAAAAACAGTTGAAATGTTTCAGCTTGTCGTTGTTGATTTAGATAATTTCTCATTAATGCTAGGTTCCCACTACTTTGCGATGCGTTACGATAGGGTTGTTCCTATTGAGTCCAGGATCTGGTATGTGAAGATACGTTCGGATACGGTTCGATACGGTTGCTATGACTGACCTCAATATATGATAACACCTGATAGGATCCACCACGATTATTTCACGATTAAAACTACAATTTCAATCGTAGCAGGAATCGTAATAGTGGGAACCAAGCATAAGTTGGAGCCAGCTTTACAATCTAAAATCCTTTTTTTATTTAACTCAGTTTTCACTGACTCGTTACTAATGCGACTGAGAACATTCAATTCTAGAAAGATTTAATTGAGTATCCCCTCAGTGTTCAATTACCTGACATACGTTATTGTTAATGTCATAAACTTTCTCATCTGAAATGTTTTGAGTTGGAGTTTTCAGTCTCCACTTGTCGGGGATTGTGCCTGTGTCAGATATAAGATGCGATTAAATTATTAATTTATTTGGGCGACGTTTCGATGAATTTTCTCTTAAAGTTTGCCCCTTGCCAATGTTGCAGGATGGAGGGCCTGACAAGGACAGCTGTCTAGTCATTTGGATGGGACGTAAAACTGAGGTCCTGTGTATACATTGGCATGCATGTTAAAGATCCCTTGGTACCGGTTGTTGGAATTCGATATAAGAGTAGGCCATAGTGCCGCTGCCCAGGCAAAATTTCCCTCATAGTCGGAGCAGAACAGTAGGACATTAAACACCATTTCATTTCCTGGAAATGTCAACTTATTTTTATATCAGTTCTTCTACTCATAAAGTAAAGGTAATATTTCCAAGACAACGAACCTGACAAGACTGTATAGTAACAGTAGAGTAGTTTTAATCCAGGAACTGATGCTTTATGGTTGATATGTAATTAGAATATTGTATATTTTTACAGGTATATATGTAATTGTTCAGATACAGGTTTTGTTGGTATTAATTGTGATGTAGATATATTAGAATGTCTCAGTAATCCATGTCAACATGGTTCAACTTGTAAAGATGGTATCAAGGTAAGAATTAGTTGGCCATTACACGGACATCTGTCTGCTGTACACAATTCAGTTTCTACTCACAAACTGTACTTATTGTCGCTAACGCTTTTTAGGTCCTAATGATCTCAGGACATGTCTATTGGACAATAACACCCCTCTAAATGCAAAACAGGAAGTGTTTATCTCCTAAATAGCATGCAGTGTTATACTATTCCCCAGAAAACCTCACATTTTCTCGCAGAAATTATTTGTGTGTTTTTGGAAAGCTTGCAGTCGGCCTTTGATTACTATGGTTAGGTTTGCAGTGTCAGAAATGAAAATTACAAAGGTAGGTTTTGAGTGTAAGAAATGAAAATTACTATGGTTACGTTTGCAGTGTCAGAAAGGGAAATTAATATATCCAGTAGTTAAATGTGCATTCTAAATTCCTTCATTGATTCACCATGCTCATGCTAAATCATCTCTGAGTTTATTTAATTCTGACATAGTGATCAAATTGAGTATAGCCATGTTTGTACCTAGCTTTCCAC